TGTTTTCCTTTTTATATTGCCTATGTCTTTTTCACATTGCCAATGTTTTCCTTTTCATATTGCCTACATCTTTTTCATATTGCCTATGGCTTCCTTTTCCTATTGCCTATGTCCTCTTTTTCACTTTGCTTATGTCTTCCTTTTAATATTGCCTATGTCTTTTTCATATTGCCTATATCTTCCATTTCATATTGCCTTTGTTTTCTTTTTCCTATTGCCTATGTCTTCCTTTTCACATTACCTATCTGTTCCATTTCAAATTGCCTATGTCTTCTTTTTCATTTTACCTATATATTTTTTTCATATTTCCTATTTTTTCTTTTGTCTTCTTTTTCACATTGCCCATGTTTTCTTTTTCACATTGTCTATAATTTCTTATTGCCTGTTTTCTTTTTTGTATTCCCTATGCCTTCCTTTTCATATTGCCTATGTCTTCTTTTCCGTATTTCCTATTTTTACTTTTTCACATTGGCTATATCTTATTTTCCATAATGCCTATGTCTTCCTTTTCATATTGCTTATATCTTCCTTTTCATATTGCCTTTGTATTCTTTTTCATGTTGCCTATTTCTTCATATTGCCTATGTTTTCTTTTTAACATTGTCTTCATTTTCTTTATCACATTGCCTATGTCTTGTTTCACATTGCCTGTGTCTTTTTCACTTTCCCTATGTCCTCTTTTTCACATTGACTATGGCTTTCTTTTCATATTGTCTATATCTTCCTATTGCCTATGTCTTGTTTTTTCACATTGCATATTTTTTCTTTTTCACATTGCTGATGTCTTTCTCAAATTGCCTATCTCTTCTTTTTCATAATATAGGGAAAACAAAAACAAATGTAAGAATGTGAAAGGTGATGATAATATAAGTACTATTAATACTTTAGAACAGGGCTGATAAATCAAAAAACCAAGAACCACATACTAGCCTTTAACAATGAATGTGTTGCTCATGAAAATAAGTTGACTGAATGTATTTTCTTATCACAGATATAGACAGAAATGTCCAAACTAGCATTAGTGAGCCACATGTTTGTCTTTAATATTGAATGTGCTGTTCATGGAAATATGTATCCTGAGCATATTTTCTCATAACATATCATAAATGAAAGAATTTCAAGCTCTATATTTATTTAAAAAGCAACATATTCAGGAATACTCTATGAATTTCAAAATTTAAAACCATTTATGAAGTGCATATAGATGCAGTAAATGCTCTTCTATGTAAGTTGTACTTAAAATATTTTAACATTGTGATTGTGACTTATCAAACAATCCTCCCTCTGAAAGAAGATCTATGCTGAATGAAGAATTTTTGAAAGAGACTATTGAATTTGATATACATCAAAGCACCAGAAATTTGGTACAGAAATTTAAAATGTGATATTCATGAACATTCCAAATGAATTCTAGCAGTCTTTCAAATTTAACAGTTTTTTAAATGGGAAAGCCAAATTTTGATTTTTTTCATGAACATCTCAAATGAATTGGGAAAATTTGTAAAGAGGGAATTTGCATTCCTAATGAGCTTTTGCTTGATAGCCATTATTCTACCAGCTGTAGCAGTCTTTTAATCAGAATGCCAACCATGCTTGGATTGCTGAGATTTTGCTTTTAATCATTAATGTCAAATTTTGATTTTTGCATTGCATTGTTACAGGTGAGAAAAATATTAAAAGAAATTTTTAAAGGCAGTGGTTATCATAAAATGAGAAACCAGTGCCAACACCAAAAACCACAGAAATTCTTGTATTGTGTTTGATGGCATATGAAAAGTGTCACCCATTGCAAACAACTGAAACATGGAAAGTTGATCTAGCAAATGTTTATTGCCTGAAATTTGATCAAGTAAACAAAGTATTATATTAAAAGTCCCCTGCTTTTTCTAAACTGAAAAGGTTCTATTCTGCAGAATGAAAAATATCAGGGCAAACTCTGCAAAATAAACCCAAGAAGATTGTTAAAATAAGAGGTTTTTTCCACATCCTGCATACTCACCAGTTTTAGAGGTTTTCATTTGTTTTTAGTCAATGGAACATTTCATAAGTATTCAGAGTCAAAGAAGTTGAAAACGGTTTTTCAAACATTTCAGGAAAAAACTCAGATATCTGTAAATGTTAAATTCAAATTTGTCTTCCACTGCAGTCATTAAAAAGTTGATTACATTTTTGATAGATGACATTTTAATAATATCAGTGGACATAGTCATTAACCTCTATTAATAAAAAAATTAATAGAATAAGGATATTTTGAAAAATTGCTGCCTTTTTCTAAATGCCTTTGATTTTGATTGTTTTTAAAAATGCTCTTCTGAAATAAAAATAAGACTCATTGAAATGTTCTCTCTCTCCCTCTCATGTCTCAACACTCCTGAATAAGAAGTGATCCATTTTTTTTTACATATAACAATTTTCATATAGTTCCTTAAAAAAAATTAAATACACTAACAACTAAAATTTGGAGTTATATAGTTTATTAATTTGGTAATTACTAATGGTATCAGCATATGCTGTAGTACTATATAACTGACAGATAGTATGCAGTTTGGGATTAATATACATATTCAAATTCATTTTTGTCAGCTTCAAAACTTGCATGTCCAAAGATCTGTTTTAATCAATTATTAATATTATTTTACTTTGAGTTTTTACCCTCTATCATATTTAATAGCTTTCACTAGAGGTTAAGTGCCAGCAAGTTTCCAGCACTCTCCTCAGGATTCTTTATTATTATTTTATACTCATTAATATCTGGTGGTTTTTACTGGAGATCAAATAAACAAATAAATTTACAACACTCTCCACAGGTTTCTTTATTATTATTTTGCACTAACATTTCAGACCAGCAATATCTGATGGTTATCTATAGAGGTCAAGTGACAGCAAGTCTTTTCTAAGATCAACTACTCTCTAACCCATAATATCATTTGGATCATTCTGATTCTTATACAAATTTCCAATTTCAAAATTGTATTTTAGCAAAATTATGATAAATTGTAATAAAAATGATTTTTAAAAATTTTAAATACTTTTTAAGGGGACTTGTTAGACTGTTGGTTATTTTCACTTCATCTCACTTTTTAATTACTACTTTTCATATTAATATTAGTAATAGATTATTGCCTAAGTAATAAACAAGTAGGAAAATCTTTATACATTTAGTATTTTACATTATTTATTTAACTTCATCAGAAATGTTTGGAAATGAATTAATATCAAAGAGATAATTTGGAGTTTGCTTGCCTGGTTGTTTTTTCTGCTCTTGATATAATAAATATTTGTATTTTGTAAATCAAAAACTACCATTTTGCTTGTGTGTATGATATTTATTTTACAGTAAATATTTTTTAACATAATCTTTTTTCTTATCAATGTACTTAACCTCACTCTTCAAAATTCAGTTAAATACTGTATGAATTTTGGGTTTATTGATCATACTCATATATGATGAATTTATATATACTGTTGCAGGAATTGCTACTTTTTGTGTAGTGTAGACATTTTTCCATAAACATTTAATGGTTCCTGGAATATTTATCCCACAAACAATCTTTGGTAGACTCATGTGAGTCCGAGAAAAAATAATAAACAAAACATGGATTTTAAACAAACAATGCATGTATTAACAAGAAGAAATTAATGTGTACAGTTGAAAGGAAAGGAAAAGACATTAAAATTTACCTATTAAGAAGGTGTTTGTTTGTGTGCATGTGTGTAAGAGTTCAGTCATCAGTAAACTGTGGAAATGAGTATGACTCAGTAGGGACATCCTCATCTATGTCTTGATACAGTAAGAGGAAGAAAGAGAAAGAGGAAGGAAATTTTTGTATTTTACAGACTTACACAGCACCACCTAATGGGTGTTTGCCAAAGCCAAGTGGGATAACCCACAATACATGAGGATTGACAACTGTTCTTTTTGAAAGGGCAGTTCTTTATTTAGCTCTTGTTGAATTTGGAAGGTAAAAACAATAGATTTTTCAAATATATTGTCCACAGGAATAGTGAAAAATTATATATATATATATATAATAAAACTATCATAATATATATAATGAGTGTGTTTATATATAAATAATAAAACTGTTATAATGAAGAATATATATATATATATATTTATATATATATATAAATAATAAAACTGTTATAATGAAGAATATATATATATATATATATATATATATATATATATATATATATATATATATATATATTCTTCATTATGACAGTTTTATTATAACTTGACAAGAGTTGGTAGACCTAGCATACACTTACATATAATACATGTTATGCATACAATGAAAATAAGTGTAGTGAAAAAAATTGCTTAAAAGATTAATATTTCTTGACAATTGTATTTATTTACATCATCTTTATTCATAAGTAAACTCATACGCCAAAACTGTTGACAAAATGTCATGCTAACAACAAGAATGACGTGGAAATTGATTCGAAAACTAAATGTTTACTAGTAAAATAAACTTTGTCACAGAATTTCAGAAAAACATGTATAGAAATGTTAAAAAAATAATGTGCCGTGTGAAAACAAATTGCGCCAGATTAAATAAAGCTTAGTGGGTATCTATAAGGGAGTTAACTGTTCACAACAGTCACTGTCTGTATAAAGTTACTGTTCCTGACAGTCCCGGGTTGTCAGTGTAAGACAGAAGTAAATAAATAAATAAATATACATACATATGTGCGTGTTCGTTGGAAACGTCAAGTCAGTCTGACTAGTACGAAGAACCTCTTTTTAAATTTCGTTCACCGTAAATCCTATTTATTTAATTTTTTTTTTTTTTTTTTGTGTGTTTTTTTGTGTGTTAGTTTTTTTTTTTTTTTTTACAGATACCAATAGCAAGGGGTACGTCCTCGGACGGTAGTCGCAGGCTTAAACGAGGAAAAGATCGTCTTCAAATATTAAAAAATCTGATTATCGACTGGCCATAAAATTTCTTTTATTCGACTGAGTAGACTTAAAAACAGATTTGGTTACAAAAATGGATGATATTTTTACGTTGGTCAAGGAAGGAAATGCTCTACAGGTTCGTGTTTGGCTGGACAACACTGCAAACGATCTTAATCAGGGGTAAGTAATAAATAACTTGGTTAACTTATAACAAGTTATAACAAATACATTTTATTAAAAAATATATATCTTTCAGCAGTAAAATAAGTTTTTGTATTACCGGCTTCTATATTGAACATTCCTGTTGTTATTAATGTGTGGGTATTGTACAAATATATATATATATATATATATATATATCCTTATTGAATGTTTGTGAGATGTCCAGCTTTAAGTGAATTATGTTCTCTTTTGAAAGTTGTATATTGTTTCTATCAGTGATTACAGGAAAATTTAGTTTCGGTTAATTTATTTGGAGATATTTTAATATTTTTTAATTTTATAATTAAATTGCATAAGATAAGTATTTATTGACCCCCCCCCCAATATACCTTGATGAAAAAGTTTTAAAATTTTTTTTGGTTTTGTTACCCGTTCAAAGAAAAGCCTTTTAAAACCTAGAACGTTTTCTCATCTTTTATTTTTTAAAAACCTTTTCTTTCAGAAAACTAGAAGTTTGTAGATATTTTCACTGATTTATTATAGTACTAAATAACAAGTGTGGCATATTTCTGATCAACAAGCTGTGATGTGAAGTTAGATGTGACTAAAAAGAATGCAATCCTTTCCTCATCCCCATCTATACAACACATCTTAAAAACGTGCTTTACCACACTTCAGTCATCTTAAAAACTTTTTCTTTTTTACAATCATACTGCATAGATTCACTATTATACTTTTTAAATCTGAAAGAAAAAAAAAATAACAAAATATTTTATTACTTTAAAAATGGCTGTGGAACCTGACTTTCTTAAGAATTCGCTTTATGTCCTAAAAAGGACATTCTTTTTACCTCTTTCTTTTTTTTTTTCTTCTTCAGATTTGATATTTATCACAATTTCCTCTCTGCATCTAGCCTTGTTATTTTTTTTTATTACGGTTTCCAGGTTTGATCCTACCATTTATTTTCTTTGACTTCTTAATTGAATTGAAATGTATTTTTGGATGATATTTAGAGTCGTATTCTTTTAAAAATTTTAGTTGTAAATTTATTTTAGATTTAGTTCGAGAATTTTAAACTTTTAAGTGTTTTTTTATTTTTTTAGTATTTTTTATTTTTGAAAACTTTTATTTAGTTATCATTGATTATTAATTAATTATTTTAGTTTCATTTCTTTATAGTTTACTTTTTACTTTTTCTTTCATCATTTTAGAAATGATACTTTAACTTCCAAACACGTTATTTATGTTTTTTTATATTTTACATACCAGTTTGAGTTAAATTAAGTTTTAAAAATTGTATTTAATTTTATTTTTCCTAAGTACAACACAAGTCTTATTGTCATTTAACTATTTTATTATTAAAATTATTTTTTTTTAATTTATATTTGGTTGATGTACATGTGCACAGAAAAATATGGCATTTTTTTATTTTACTCATTCATGAGAGTATGGAGGAGGGCGGGGCAATAGTTGATTTCATATTGGAAAAGGTATTTTTGCGAATAAAGTCAGTTTAAGTTAACCAACTCAAATTCCAATTTGTGACTTCCCCCCTTTCATTTCCTACATTTTTCCTCTTTCTCTTCCTGATATGGTGATTAGCGTAGGAGAGTATGTGTATGAAACTGCAAATGAAATATTTAGTTACTAAATATTTCATTTGCAGTTCCTTTCTTTAGTTTTTAGTTTTTGTATATGGCCTTAAGAGTAATGGCCAACTAGTGAGGATCAAATTCACTACAGTAGTAATTGTCTGTGAGACTAGGAGATTGCTAACTCTTGCTCTATGGTGAGGTGCCATTATTGATATTTACTAAGCTCAGTTTATCATGGCACAAGGCCAGAGTAATAGGGCATCCAGTGAGGATCAAACTCACTACAGTAGTAATGGTCTGTGAGACTAGATTGCTAACTATAGCTCTATGGTGAGATGCCCTTATTGATATTTATAAAGTCATAAGTCTAAAGTAATAATAGGCATTGAATGCAGATCAAACTCACTACAGTAGTAAAAGAGCTCCAGTGCTCTATCCTTGTACCTAGATTGTTCCTAATTTTCATCAACGACCATCCTGATGTCATTAGTTCTCAACTCTGTATTTCTGCTGATGTCACAACTATTTACTGCTGTCTTAAGAGTAAGTCTGATTAGTTCAATAAGGTCAGATTGGTAGCTGATCACAAAAATGACCTACAATCTGTTGTTAGCTGGAGCAAAGAACGTCTTGTTAATTTCAACACCTCCAAAACAAAATTGCTCTCTTAATTGTTTGAGAGAACACTTTTTGTCTTCCATCAGCATTGCTGTTATTAACCTCCAGGAAAGTAACTCATTGCACCTTCTTGGGGTAATGTTTTCTGGTAACATGAAGTGAAAGATTATATTTTAATCAATTGCTATGTCTCCTGCAAGAAATGTTGGTTTACTGTGTTGTGATAGACAATTTTTTTTGCCAGAATCTATCTTACACATTTATAAGTCTACCATTCATCCATGTTTTGAATATTGCTGACACATCCACATATATTTAGTAATTCTTGATAGACTACAAAGAATTTACAGTGTTATTGGTCCTGACCTGGCATCTTGGCTTCAGTCACTTTCCCACTGTTGTAACGTATCTTGCCTGTACCTTTTTTTATAAATACTTTTATGGTAATTGTTCTGATGAACTTTCTTCTATGGTATATAAATTTTATGAATTTAAGTACAGTACTAGATTGGCTGTAAGGTCTCATCATTTTACAGTTGAAATGACTAGATTTAACTGTAAGTTCTGTGTTAAGTTTCTTCTGACTTGTGGAATTCTCTGGCTTCTTGTTTCCCAGCCAACTTTGATCTTCAAACATTTAAATGCAATGTCAATTGTTATCTTCTGTCTTCTTAATTCCTGTTCTGTTACTGTTCTCTCTCCTTAATAATGTTTTCTTTTTTTTTCTTTTCTCTCTCACACTCAGTAACCCCTTGCATCTTAGTAGCTTCATTTGCTTGCTTGGGGTGAAATGATTAAAAAAAAAATATGGTCTGTGAGTTGAGCTTGCTAAAAATTGTTCTACAGGTAAATGCCCTAATTTATATATACTAAGCACAATTTATTATGGAACAAGTCCAGAGTAATAGGGAATCTATCAATGAACAAACTCACTTCAGTAGTAATGATCTTAGGAAACTAGCTTAGTAACTCTTGCTACAAGGTAAGGTGTGTTATTATTAATATTTAGTAAATGTAATTTATTATGGCACAAGGGCAGAGTAATAGGGCATTCAATGTGGATCATTCTCACTACAGTAGTAATGGTCTCTGAGGCATTTATGTGCAAGTCCCACATGTGAAACATATTAGTGTTGCTAATATAGTTAAATTGGTTCAGATGATTATCAATACTTTTGTCATTTTGTGTATGTCAGTTATCTTACACTTCATATATTGTTGACTATTATCAAATAATTGTCTCAATTTGTTAATTGGAGCATCATTCACCCAGAAATCTCTAACATATCACTTTACAAACCACTTTGGACATTTTTTATCCTTTGCAATATCTCCTTCATAAACTGCACAAGGCCTCTTTGAATTTGATTTGAATTTTTACCTTTCTTAAATTTGCATAATCTGAAAATGTTGCTTTTTTTTTTTTCTTCATGTTAGAATCAACCAAAATATATCTATTTTCAAAAAATCTTTCAAAAATGTATGCTGTTATGACAGCTCTCATAATGCAAGAAGCCATTTTTAAAAATTAAAGAACACTCCTAATAGTATCTAAATCTAATATTAAAGACAGATGTTATTTTTAATCAAGTCAATGAAATCAATATATATATACTTGTATTATTTCAAACTATTCTTTTTATCTTGGTTGAGTTTTGTCTTGCATTGGGATTGTCTTGGAGTTGAGGGTTTCTGGTTACAGAGGTCAAGGTAGATTCAGGAAAACATAGAAGAAGACTGCATTGGGAGAGATGTGTGAGAGTGCAGCCTTGCCTACATTAACCCACTTAACAGGTATACTTGGAAAGAAGGAGTGAGAGCTAGCCAACTGTTGCCTACCCCCAGTTACTGGGAAACCCACAGAAGTATAATCAAAGCTCCAGATCTTGACTTGACTTGATATAGATGACAGGAACAAATATCAACAGATAACACATATCAGCCAATCAATGGACACCTGATGATAACCAGAGGGTACTTGGTTGAAATGCTGTGTTTATAATAACGTCTGTATCAAGATGAGAGCAAAAGTTTGAAATAATACAAGTATATTAACAATTACTCATCTCTGAAATTAAATATTAAATTAATGAAAACAGTCTTATGGTTGCATTTATTCTGCAGCATTGTTTGTAATTTTATCAATTGTAAAATAATTCTCATAATTATTTTTAAATTAAAAATATTATTTTACATTGACTTACTATGACTAGTGTCGTTATTCTGGTTGTTATAGTTACATTTCAGCCATTGTACCCCTGTGGATGTGCAGGTGGTGTAATGGATGTATTGGCTTGGAATGAGAATTTGGGGAGCAAAGTTTGAATTCCAGTCAAGTTTGTTATATTCACTTGCATACAAATGCCCTTGAGAATGTTGTGAATCCATCTCCCTCTCCCCCAGCTGTAGGTAAATAGCAGGTTAGACTGGGCCCTATAGACTTAGTTGGCAACCAGTCTAGGAGGAAGAAAACTCTGAATTCAAACCAACCTTCAGAAGGTTGGGCTCCATCAGGTTATCCTGCCCAAGACACATCACCTGTCAAGATAGCAGTACCCCCCTACAACACTAATGGGTTATAAAACTTATAATTGTGACCCTCTGTTTTATTTCAGGTCATTGTTGTTAACCATCTGGGAATTTTAAACCAATGTTTATAATTCAATCCATGAGTTTTCATTCTGCTATTACTGTTATCTGATATCCTTTATCAGATAATTCTAGTTAATTTGTTTTTGCAATGTTATTTATCATTTCTACTAAAACATAATAAATCAATGTATAGTAATAATTCCTACTCTCAAA